GCTCCCAGGAATCACCACCTGGATTTTACAGATCAAGAAACAGGAGGGAAATGGTTCTGCTTATAAGTCAGTGTTCTCATCCTTCTGGCCCTTTAAATACAGTTCCTCATGTTGTGACCCAACCATAGAATTTTTTTCATTGCTACTTCATAACTGTAATGTTGCTACTGATATGAATCATAATGTAAATATCTGATATGCAGGATGGTCTTAGGCGACCCCTGTGAAAGGGTCGTTCAACCGCCAAAGGGGTCGCGACCCACTGATTGAGAATCGCTGCTATAGGTGGTGCAGCCCATTGGCCTTTCAGCTTTGCTCCCTCCCGACCCTCCCAGGCGGGGCTGGGCATGGATCCCAGAGGCCAACGTGGCCCTCCATGAGGCCTGCTCATCCCGGACCAATGTCCATGGGGAGCCACAGCCACCTCCCCCCTCTTCAGGGAGGGGCGGCAGAGTGATGATGGTATTGCATGAGGACCACACACCAGAGCCTGACATGATCCCCCAGCAAAGGGCTGGTTTCAGAGAAGAGGAAGCCAAGGTGAGGGGAGAGGCGGGCCTTGCACCAGGAAACTCAGGAGAGGGGACAAGACTCAGAGCAAGTGTCGCAGTTGGCCTCTGGCCCTGTTTACAGTTATTTTTTGTCCTGTTTTTCCTGTAATCTGCCTTCCTCCTGGTTCCTCCCCTTTCACTGGCCTGTCTGCCGCTTGACACCCCACACCCCCTGTGAGGAGCAGAATCACGCCAGACCCACAGGAGCGGAGTCCTGTTGTCCAAAGGGCCCTCTGATAAGAACGCAGAAAAGACCCCAGACGGACGTCCATGGCCTCGGTGAACAGGGTCTCCTGGCAGAACAACCGGGGTGGGGGCTACAAAGCCACATGAGGTGAGATGGGCACCTCTTGGCATGAGCTGAGATCACCCCACTTAGGGACCCAAAAGACCCAGTGACTATTCAGTAGGGCTCAGCTGGACCCCCCGACATCACAATAAAGGTCACCTGGGGTGACGACAGCTCGGAGGCGGGGTCTTGGACAAATTCTTTGGTCAATAAGCCATCTCAGCCCACTGTGAGAAAATCTCCACTCAGGGGAAAAGGAACCCCAAAATCACAGGGAAAGGGGTCTGGCATTGCCACCAGCATCGCCTGGTGGAGGCTGGAGGAGTCACCAGCTGGAGGCACTCAGCCAGCACCCTCACCCGGCCCGGCCCAGTCTCTCCAACACGTGGGGAGGGGAGCTTGGCTCAGACACGCTGGACACGAAGAGTTTAGTGTCCAGAACAGGGACCCCATCTCCCTGTCCTCCTCCTGTTTATAGGGCAGTGGGAGTGGGCAGGAGCATGTAACCCAGGGGATGGTGTCGTCATCACAGTGGCTCGCCGACGGGCACCTTGGGCTGCAGAGCACAGAGCACTGAACTCCATGCCAACAGCACCTGCCGACCTCACGGGAAGTGGCCACTGGTCTCAGCCCTTGTTGCCAGGCTGCCAGCATCACCCAGGGGCCAGCCTCCTTGTCTTTCCTCAGGTGGCAAAATTGGGTCCTGAGTGAGAGACAAATGTCAAAGTAGGATCAGGACTGAGAATAAAGATGACAAAACTCAAACCCATAATGTTAGTATTTTTGTGTTAAAGTCAAGACGAAATGCACTGTGTTTAATGTCAGTGAACGTACAATGTGTAAGCGAACTGGGCACATTCTCAGAGTTACCAGATTTTGGATGTCAGTTTAAAACAGGAAATGGAGTAATTTATCTCGATTAACGATTGTAAGTGGAAAGGCACTCTGCCCAGAGCAAAGGAGGAGAGGAGGGAGCCTCAAGTTCATCAGTTCCCAGCACAGGAGGGGTGGGGAGTGGCGGGCAGGGGTGCAGATGGGGCTGTGAAAACTGCACCATCAGACATCTCCAAAGCAACTTCCGGGTGCACCACCCTCTCCCTTCTTCCGCAGGCTTTAAAAATAATAGCATCTAGGTGGGCCAGTGTGGATCAGTGGTTCAGCATCGACCTATGAACCAGGGGGTCATGGTTCGATTCCCGGTCAGAGCACATGCCCAGTTGCGGCTCAATTCCCAGTAGAGGTGTGCAGGAGGCAGCAGATTAATGATTCTCTCCCATCACTGATGCTTCTATCTCTTTCCCTCTCCCTTCCTCTCTGAAATCAATTAAAAGAAATATACATTAAAAAAAGCAAAAGCAAAATAAAAGAACCACCCCCAACTACTTCCTGGAGTTCCCCTAGCCTGTGTCTAGCTCTGCCCAAAGCTGTCCCCATGGGGGCCCTGTGCTGCTGCCTGCTGGCCAGAGGGCAGGGACCCTGAGTGCCCCCTTGGTCCCAGACCAGCTCTGGCAGCTGAATCATCTGGGCCTCCATGCTCTTCAGCTTCTTCTCGTTCTCCTTGACCAGCGCCAGGATCTCCTCGCGGGAGGCCCGCGTGTCATCCAGCTCGCGCATGTAGTGCTTCATCTGGGCCTGGGGGTGGGGAGGAAACGCTTGGTACCAGCACCCTGACCCCAGTGGCCACCCATGTCCACCCCACCTCACCTCCCACCTTCTACCCCATCCCAGAGACAACCGCCAACAGGGGCTTGTGACTGGCTTTTTCTTGACACCTCAGGGAACCAGCTTAACTAAAAGGGCAAAACAGTAACTAAAGACAAAATGTTCCTTTACACGACACCAGCAACATTCAACCTGTGCCACATGAATTTTAAAACATGCCATACGTGAATATTTAGACAGGGGCACTGACCTCATTTCCCTCAAATGAAAAAATGACAACAGCCAATATAACCATAGCTGTATCATGTGAATGAATCAAGATTATACCTTTTTTTGGCCAGATCAGCAAAAAATTAATATATCTTATGGTGCGCTGCAGAAAGTTAGTAATTAGCTTACGTTGCCCAGAGAACAGGATTGACAATCGCTGCCCGACAGCGTTTTATACTTATTGACCGTCAGGATCTACGAAGCATACCCTGGGCAGCGTCAGTCACCGTGTCCATGGGACCCACGTGGCTCGTGTTTCAACTGCCTGTTGGCTTGAATCCTGTGCTGCAGGACCATCCCCCACCCCCCCCACCCCCGACACCTGCTACTCTGCCAGGTTATCCTGACCACACACAGGAGCACACTTCCTTTCTTCTTCGCCTGCCGTCTGTTTTAATCCTACAGATCGTGGTCAAGTAGCTTTCAGACCGTTCGTTCCCACTCAACCGCTGGGCCTGAGTCTCTGTCTGTGAGACGGGCTAAGGGAACCAAGACCTTCCTGGGATAGGGGAAGGCGGCACATCCGCGTTCACTGGCCACCCCAGTAGCGTCCCAGCCCCACACTGGTCCCAGCACCTCCGTGTGCAGCCAGATCTGCTGTGGTCGGGTCTGACCTCACCTGCAGCTTCCGCAGCTGTTTGATGGCTTCGTCGCGGTTCTTGTTGGCTGAGTCCAGGCGGCCCTCCAGGTCCTTCAGGTCCAGCTCCAGCTTCTTCCTAGCGGCCACTGCCAGTGAGCGCTGCTTCCTCTCGTCTTCCAGCTCTGCCTCCATCTCCCGCACCTGGGGGAGATGCCGACAGCTCAGGAGGCCAGACCCACACACAGACCCGATGCCAGCTCTGAGCCCAGGTGGGTTTGGCCTAGCTCTGTGGATCCATGGGGCTCAGGGGCCAAGGAGAATTACTAACAGAAAAAATCCTGATATGGTCACTGATTCCCCCACTTCCCCAGGACAGAGGACTGGAAGACATGGCCAGGGAGCCTTCCACCATCCAGGTAGAGGAAGGAGAGAGGATGCCTGTGGAAACCTGGCAGGGTGGGGGATTCCATGCCCACCTCTGCCCAGAGACCGAGAGCGCCCTGACCCTGGAGGAGGAGGGCCACATGCACCTGTCTGACCAGCTGCTGCTGCTTCTTCTCCTCGCTCTGCTCGTCCCCGCCCTGCAGGTCCCGCTTGAACTGGGCCCTCATGGCCTGCAGGTTCCCCTGCTTGGCATCCTCGGTGGCCTGAAGCTCATCCTCCTGCTCCTCCATCTGGGTCTTCATCTTCTCCACCTGCTGCTCCAGGGTCCGCTTTGACTTCTTCCGCTCACGCACCTGCCAACGAGGGAAACCGAGTCAGGAGCAGAGGGACAAGAGGTCCCCGAGGGCCCTGCCTCAGTGTCCACTTCCCCACTAAGCCTCCGTGCTGGCCCTCCCGGTACTCACACTCGTGCCTACGTCGTCCTTGGACCTGACGATCTCCGCTATCTCCTTGCGGACCAGCTTACTGCGCCGCTCCAGCTCTGCCTTCTGTACAATGTTGTGTATGTGGCTGAGTTCCCCCAGCCATCCCTCCAGCTCCTGGGCCTGCTGCCTCCACTCTTCAGCCAATTGTGTCTTGGGCCCCTTATGCAAGCGCCTTGACTCCTGCACAAGGCTGAAGGTATCCTTCATTAAGGATAAACCGGAAGTGGCTATATCTTTCATCCTGGCTTCCTTGGTCATGGCCAGCGCAGTGCCTCCAAAATATTGCTGCAGCTGCGCGCTCCTTTCGTCTGAGGTTGCCCCCGTGCGCAGGAAGCTCTCGGCCTCGGCTGTTAACCGGGGTTTGGTACTGGCCACCTTGCAGGCTTCGGCATTGTTCACAATGTCTTGCAGGGATTGGAAGCACTTCCTTGCTAAGACATCAGCTTGGGGTTTCCTGTGACGTACAACGTCCTCAAACACCTTCCATTTGTTGCTGCCAGTTGACACTAGGCTACTGATTTCCTCTTCGGCTGACTTGTTTTCAAAGTCTTGAATGAAGCTGGCTATCTCACTGGTCACAGCAGCTGCTGCCCCCAGTCCCTTCCCAGTTGCCGAGAGCACCAGACTAGCCTCTGCATTCACAGGTGCCAGAGACTGGCCAACAATGTTCAGAATGTCAGACACAACACCGGTGGTAGAGGCCGCCACTTGGGTGATGGTGCAGTCCCTGTGCACCTTGTCAACCTCATCCGCAAGTGCATAGAGTTTTCGTATGCGTTTCTCAAGGTCCTGTTTCACCCGAGGAAACTCCTTCATAAACCTCTCCCTGTGCAACTGGTCCAAGGCCCCGCGACTTCCCAGCTGGCTCAAGTCTTCATAGAGTGCATCTACCTTATCCCTGCAATCATGAAGGTCAGGTGATTAACCAAGGCAGCTTGCTTTTCCATAAAATGGGCCCAATAAGATCCATGTTGCATAATCACAGAGCTTTGACTCTAAGTCAAATAGAAAAGAATTTTACAAATGTAAGGAATTTTTCTTTCAATATTAACACATATTTTGTGTCTTGTAGATGCTCCATAGTACTTATTGAGACAGAGAATAAATATGGAAAATCCTTTTGAGGTGCTCTTCAGTGTAAAGTATTGTTTTTTAATGTATTTCTATTGATTTCAGAAAGGAAGGGAAAGGGAGAGATAGAAACATCAATGATGAGAGAGAATTATGGATTCAGCCGCATCCCACACACACCCCAATGGGGATCTAGCCCACAACCTGAGCACCTGCCCCAACCAGGAATCAAAACCTGGCTTCCTGGGTCATACATAGGTGGACACTCAACCACCAAGCTACACCGGCTGGGAATTAAGTGGTAAGTATTTGATAAAGACGGCTTTTCACTCAAGGGCAGGTCGACCCCTCACCACCAAAGTGTGTGTAGAGTGGGAACTCCAGGGATGAACAGGAAAAGTGGAGGGGAGCAGATAGACCCTCACCCAGACAATCTCAGAGTGTGGGGGAGACTTAAGCTGACCACAGAGAGGTCTGCCCTTTCCCTTGGCTACTGGGAGTGATCTCTAGGGTCGCAGATGCCCTGACTGGTAGCCATGTCATTGCTTGCCTGGCATTTGGCCCCTGGCCGGGCTGACAAGGTGATGGATGAAGGAGGCTTTTGGACATGTGGTATCAGTTCTGCTGATGAAGGAACTAGAGACAAAAGGCATTAGTTAGCCCTGCAGGCTAGAAGCTGCAGGTCAGATATGTGGGCAGCATGAGATTGCGCCCCAATAACCCTCTGCACACTGAGACTCTGCCATATTTGCATCAGGCTCTTCTGAGCCCTCTTCTCAACTAGGCCTTGACCTTGGCCTTCCATGTTCTGTCCTTGACAGTCTGTATCTTCCAGTCTTAGCAATAATCCTGCTAAGTCAGTTTAGCGAGACTCTTCCCTTCCCCAACTTAAAAAAATCCCATCTAATAATAGACAAACATGGTAATTGACTGTACCTTCGCTACACCTCCCATTGGCTAATCAGTGTGATGTGCAAATTAACTGCCAACAAAGATGGCGGTTAATTTGCATACCTAGGCTCTAAGCGGCAGAGGGAAGACTGAAGGTGGCTCCGGCTGGGGCAGTGAAGACAGAAGACTGAAGGCGGCTCCAGCCGGAGCAAAGGCCTGGGTCCAGGGTGCCGGAGGAAAACCTGTGCCACCAGCCAGGAGAAGGGAAGGCCTATTGCACGAATCTCTTTGTGCAACAGGCCTCTAGTATATATATATATATATATATTTTAGTCCTCACCTGAGAATATTTTTTTCATTGGTTTCTTAGAGAGAGTGGAAGGGAAGGTGCATGTGGGAGAGAGAGAGAGGAAAAAAAAACATGATGTGAAAGAGACACATCGATTGGTTGCCTCCTGCTCAGGCCAAGACAGAGTGAGGTATTGAACCTTCGAACGAGTTGCATGCCTTTTACCCTGCGAAGGAGTTGCATGCCTTTTACCGGAATTGAACCCACAACCCTTTGGTCCTTGGGCCAATGCTCTAACCACTAAGTACCCTGACCAGGGATAGAACATGCAATCCAGGTATGTGCCCTGACCAAGAATCAAACCAGCAACCTTTCAGTGCACAGGATGACGCTCAACCAACCAAGCCACTCTGGACAGGCAAGAATCCCCACACTTTTAATGTCTGATCACCTTTGATAGATCTCATCAAATTTCTCATCCCCCAACTTTGATGCATAAGTCCTTGCTTGACCACTTAGGTTAGTTTAGCAAGAATCCCCCCGGTCTGGATACCTCCTCTCAGTAATTTCCCATCCACCAACCCCCTCGCTCTTCTTCCTGGCTATAAATCCCCAGCTGCCTTTGCTGTATTCAGAGTTGAGCCCAACCTCTCCCCTATTATGAGGATCTTCCCATGTACTGCATGGTTGTCCTGGGAAAGGTCTTCCTTACATTTTCAGTGTCAGAATAACTCCTTTCTTCCTCAGGGTGAGCTTCCCTGCCTGGCGAGGCCTCATGGGCTTGTTGAATACAGGACGGTGGTGCGTCCTGAGGACAATGGAGGCCTCGCGGTTGAAACCTGTCCAGCCTCGGCCCCATGCACCTCTCCCTTTGGCTGACTGGGAACTGTGTCCTTCCCTGTAATAAACTGGGACTGTGGGCATGGTCCTGAGGTGGTTCAGGGAACCCCCAAAATATGCAGTTGGTGTCGAAAGGAAGGGCAGTCTTGGGGGCTGTGCACTCAGACTTTTCGTCTCAGCGATTCTGGGAACTTAAAATTGAACAACCAAAACCTCAGAGCTAGGAGGGAACTTACTAGTAATGATGATTGTGCCTGGCATCTGCCCTTGGCCAACCCTGATGCTCTTTGACCTTCCTGGCTGAAGGCCACTGGGTCCAGTCACTTTCCCAATTGAGAGGGAACCTGGGATCTGCTACCAACCTTGGTTCCCCTGACTCTCCAGCCAACCATCCAGCACCCCCATCTCAGGTGTCACCAGCCTAACTCACACCTTAGCTGCTGACAGCATCACATGCGAGCACACCAAGGCCATGTCCAAATTTATGGAACCTCCTAAGACACAAGGCACTGTAAGAACCATGTATGTGAATCACTAAGGCTGAGACCTGCGATTGGATGAGCTGGTGCAGGAAGCCCTATCCTCTATTGTGGGAACCTGTGGGTCTACCCAGAATCCCTCAGATGACACCACATTGGCAGCCCCCATTCTGACTGGAAGTGGTCACTAAGCCTCACTGCCTTCCCTCTGGTCAGGGTTACTCCATGGAGAAGAGAAGAGGGTCCCACAGGGAGGTCAGAAGCCCTCCAGCTCCCAGACAGGGTTGGAGGACATAATCACCCAGGGCCCTCTACCCCCAGCAGAGAGGGGATCAAATCAGGGAAGGAAGAAATGTGTACCCTCACTCCCCATCCCCCCAACCCCCTAGCACAGCCCTCCACCAGGCCCCTGGCCTCCTCAGTCCTGTGCCAAGTGCCTCAGTTGCCTCACTCTAGTCCAGCCCCGCTGCCAAGCCTCCAACCTGGACCACCCTTGCTTCTTCCAGACCCCGGGCTATGACTTGCTCCAAGCCTCTCTGGGCCTCCGGACAGCATGACTGCACCAGCTTCCTCAGCCTTGACCCTGCAGTTCACCCCAAGGCCTTCACCATAGTTCTATCAGACGGACTTGCTATTCCATTGAAGGGGGAGATGACATAAGCCCAGAGCCCCAGAGCCGGATTCAATCCAACACGGTGAAGCTTCACTCCAGCTCTCCACCTTCCACGCCAGCAGGACCCTGCAGAGTCTGTACAATCCCTTTCTTAGGGAGAGCAGGCTCTCTAGCCACAATCCCCAGGGACACAAACTGTGCCAGGAATTTTCTGGCTTGTCCCAAAGGAAGTCCTGCGTGGCTCACGTCCAGCAAGAAGACGCTTGGGCCCTGTCAATTCCCAGCATCTTTTTAAAAGTTCATGTGAACTGCCCACCTACTATGTGTCAGTCATTAGGCTAAACAGTTCACATGCATTGTCTTATTTTCCTCACAATGAAATAGAACAGATGACTAAGACAGAGAGTGGTTAAGTAACAGGCCCAAAGTCATGTAACCTTCACTCTGCAGGCCTCATCTCTTCTCATCCTGAGGCCCTTCTCTGCCAACGAATGATATGAAGGAAATGTTCCTCATGGACTGTTGAGAAGGCACTTCTTCAACCCCAAGGTCAGGACCCTGCCTGGAGGAGTGTGCCTGCCAGAGGAATCTAGTTGCAGGGGAGATGGGGTGACAATACAGGCATCCCCTGGAGGTTACCAGGACAGCTTGGCCGCAGCCACAAATCTCTCCCAGGATTCATCACTCAGCAGGCGTTGAAGTTTCTCTTTGTTCCTTGGGTCCATTAAATACTCAGTGACATCAACGAAGTCTTTGCCCTCTAGATAGAAAGAAGAAAAGAATAAGTTTAGAAGAAATCTAATGGAATTGAGTATAAACAAGGTGATTAAATGTTCATCTTCCAGAGCAGCTATCACCTGGGTGACTTTTTTAAAAAATCTGGGTAACTTTTGGTGAGTCACCTGGTGTTATGGACTGACCTGTCCCCCCAAATTTATATATTGCAGGCCTGACACCCCATGTGACTGTACTTATTCATTTATTTGTTTTTATTTTTTAATATATTTTTATTGATTTCAGAGAGGAAGGGAGAGGAGAGAGAGATAGAAACATCAATGATGAGAGAAAATCCTGATCGGCTGACCCCACAGTGGGGATGAAGCCCAAAACCCAGGCATGTTTCCTTGGCCGGAATCGAACTTGGGACCTTTCAGTCCGCAGACCGACATTCTATCCACTGAGCCAAACCAGTTAGGGCTACCTTAACCACATTTAAGGGTACAGTTCAATAGTGTTAAATTATATTTACCCTGTTGTGCAACCAATCTCCAGAATTCTCTTCATCTTATAAAACAGAAACTCAATACCCACTAAACAATAACTCCCCATTCCCGCACCTCCCAGCCCCTGCAAACTGCCTTTGTACTTCCCATCTCTACGGATCTGAGTGCTTCATATACATGGAATCACACAATGTTTATCTTCCTGAGACTGCTTTATTTCACTTAGCACAGTGTCTTCAAGGGTCATGCAGGTTGGAACAGGGGCCAGAATGCCCTTCCTTTTTAAGGCTGTAATTTTTCTTAAAGGATTTTTGGGAAAGTTTATTTGAGCCAAACTGCGTGAGATCTAAAATGCTCTGGAGAATAACAGTCACTCAGCTTCTTCGATGCATTTGAAATAAAGGAGGGGATGTAAGGAAGGTTACATGAAGTTGGGAGAAAGCAGCTGGGGATTGGATTTCAGGACAGTCAACAAGAGTGTGGTCTCTTCTTTAAAAAAACCCAAAAAATGTTTTTATTGATTTTACA